ATTTGGCTTATTCAATTTTCATTTTCATAATTCTTGTCAAAAATCAAAAAAGGAAGGAAGGAAGAAATAAATAAATAAATAAATGATAATGATGATGATAATAATAATAATAATAATAATAATATACTATATAATATAATAATAACAAAAATAATGAAATACGGTCCAATTGACCCTGAACATGGTTTGATCGACCCCGGAGACAAACTGGTGTCTACAACATCCAAAATTTTGAAGATTTTCATTTAAGAAATTTTAGGGATTCACTTCAAAAAAATTCACATTTGAAAATCCTAGAGGTTTACATCCAAAATTCAAAGATTCAAATTTGAAAAATTTTAAAGATTCTCAACTAAAATTTCAAATTTTCACATTAAAAAATTCACATCTAAAATTCAATATCTCAAGCATTTGCATTTAAAAGTTTAAAGATTCTCATCATAAAAATCTTGTGATGAGAAAAGCTCCTTTAATAAAAGTTCAATAACTTTAAAATCTTTTAAAAATATCCTCCTTATCCACTATTTAATAACTCAACTAAAATTTGTTTTCAATCAAAATTCAAAATCTTAACAAAAATTTCCATCTAAGGGTTAAAATATTATCTCGAAAATTTTTCCTCATTCGAGGATCAACATCTTCTCAAAAAATTCCTCAACTTTACACTGAATTCAATTTCAAAATCTAAAATAAAAAATTTCTTATCCATCAAATGATTATCATAAATGTAATGCATATAATGCAAATGTCGATCAAGTCAAGCAATTTTAATTATGGTAATAAGGTTCTCAAGATTTCACCATATTATATTTTCTTTTTCAACTTCTCAACACTAATAATTTTAGAATTAATTCATAAATTCCATCAACTTATCCATTATCATTTCCATTATTTAGTTACAACTTATAGACACTTAATTTTATTAAAGTCGATTTGAGTTTTTTCAATTTTATTTTTTACTTAATTTGCATGTCATGATTTGGATTTATCTTATAGGATCATTTAGGCTTTATTCGTTTTAGGTCTAATTTAATTTTGTTCGAGCAATTTAAATGTGGATTATTTAAGTTTAAAGGCCCAAGTCTGATAGTGAAGACCCAATTTGCTTTGGGTCAATACAAAATTTAATTATGCAAGTTTAAAGCTCAATTAATGACCCAAAGTAGTCCAATTTAAAGTCCAAAATTTAAGGCCCAATTACTTTAATTAAATTAAAAAAGGGAAACGGACATATTTGAAGCTGGCACTGTATTACTGATCTCAAGTATGGCTTTCCTGCAATTCTTTATGATTTAATGATATTTCTGATCGCTCCAATGGTGCAATATCCATTGAAATGAAAATAATACGAATTTATAAACGGGGCAATTTATTCCAATTAAAAGAGAACATATCACTTACGATTTAGAAATGCTCCCCGTTGAAATCCTTTTCTTTTTTTTTTTTTTTTTTTTGAGAATACTTCGTATCTAACTAATAACTTTTATTAAAGTTTAAAATCAGCAAATGAAGATTTAAATGTTCAATAAAAAGGTAATCATTAGAGGAAAACAATTTAGATGAAAATTTTTACGTAAAATTTATGAAGTTTTCTATTAAAAATATTAAATAAAAACAGAATTAAAAAATCAAAATCAATATATTAAAAAATTTTATTACATAAATCAAGTATGTAAAATTTAAAAAAATTTAATAAATTTTAATATACTTTTTGGATAAGCATTTTTAATGAAATTTTGACATAAATTTTACTGTTAAAAAAGTACAAATCAAATTTATATTATAAATTATATTTAATATTTTTTATATATTATTGATTTTCTCGTTGAGTTCTATCATTCTATCAATTTAGATTTTTTTTTATTAAATCATTTTTATTCAAAAATTTGATAATTTCACCTAATAAACTTCATTTAAATTATGCTCTAATTAAAGATCCTTCAAAAAAAAAAATTATTCAACGATGGAGAATGCTTTAGCGGATGCATCGACAAACCTTCCAACGAAATTCTTAAAGGAGATCATGATGGAACGTTGGATACTAGTTCATGGTTGGAATCGGATGTGGTTGTGATCCAAAAAACTGGAAAGAATCCTAAGGTTCCCTTTTACAGGGACATGTGGTCTCGGGTAGAGATGTGAACTATAGGAAAAAGAAAGGATGCGAATGCTTTCTTCTTTCTTGCACTGCTTCGAATACATGTTAACCATATTTTACACTAGCCATTCTTTTCTTTCCACCATACATACCTATCTTTCCTTTCCTATATAAAATTAAATATCATGCATAACTTAGATATGTTTATAACTTAATAAATTTTAATACATTGTAAATATGATGAAATTATGAACATGATAAAAAGTACCATCTTTCAATAGGGAAAAATTATTGAAAGTAGTGACTTAAATCTCATAACAGATTTATTTGAGATTGGTTAGATATTACTAGATATAGAAAAAAACTTGCAGAAGAAGAATTCTAAAAAAAATGATTATTTATAAGTAAATTAATATGGTTATAAATATGTGAAGTTTTTATAGAGTTAGGTATAAAAAAAAATGTGAGAGAGTTGTAAAATTTTATAGGATAAACACTCTATAGGACTAATAGAGATTAGCGTCCTTATAGGTGTATATATTGGAGTAAACTACAAGAGATTGAGAAGATTCACATAGGTATGAATATATATGTTGGAGTGGATTATAGGAGATTGATAGGGTCCATATACATATGGTGTATGGGTGCACATAGATATATGTTTGTTTAGGTTGAGAGTACTTTATAGAAGAGATTGAGTTGGTCTATTGGTATTGATTGTTGAGCGATTGACATGATTTGTATATTTGTAATTCTCTACAATTAGTAGATTTTATTTTTAATTCGTGTATGTAGATCGATTAGGCCAAACCATGTTAAATTATTGTCTTTTGAATTATTGACTAATTGTTTTATTTCGCTTTTGTTGATGTGATTGGATTGAGATTTTTGTCTAACAAATAATATCAGAGCTGTTGTGATTTTTAACAAGTGGTATCAGAGCTGAAGGTTCAAGATATGTAAAGAGACAAGCCTAGAGGAGTTCGATTAAAGAGAAGAGTTCAAGTTTGTGTTTTGAGAATTGATTTGCATGAAGCGTGAACACACACAAGAGAAAATGATTTTAAGACTTTCATTATAGATGGATCCAAGAATATCTAGCATGAAAATTGATGATTGATGAAATTTGAGTCAATGTGGAGATTGTTGGGATTAGTGACTCAAATCCCATAAATGATTTGTTTGGGATTGACTAAATATTGTTTGATGGATAAAAAGACTTATAGAAGAAAAATTCTAAGAAAAAATGGATTCTTGATGAAAGAATTCTAAAAAAAAAAGGGATTTTTGATAGACAAGTTAGTATGGTTACAAATAGGTAAAGTCTTTATAGGGTTAGGTATGAAAAGAAAGATGTAACAGAGTTGTATGGTTTTACAGGATAGACACCCCGTAAGACTACTGAAAATTTACGTTTTATGAATGTGTATGTTTAAATGTTTGTGAGTGACTAAAAGAGATTAAAAGGGTTCACATAGGTATGGTGCATAGGTGCACATAGGTATACGTTTATTTGAGAATACTCCATAAGATTAGAAGAGTATAGGTATAATTTGTAAGTACTTAACTTGATAATTATTTGTAATTTTTTACAACTAATGAATCTTTTTTTTCATTCGTAGATGTATATCAATTGGGTCGAACCATATTAAATTATTGTATTATTACCTCTTATGTAATTGATTGATTGTTTAATTTCACTTTCATTGGCTTGATTGATTGTAGGCTTTTATGCTTAACAAAAATAAGTTCCATGCCTTTGATAATTTTTTTTAATAAAAAAAAAAGCCTTTAGCACAAAAAATGTTATCTAAAACGCAATATTTGCTCCCAATCATAACCCAAAGAACAATATTTTGTCTCTTCAAAAAAATGTTTTTTTCCATCTGATGAGAAATTCGTTGTTAAGCAAAATATGTGTAAAGTAGTTGGCATTACACATTCAATATCAGGAGCAGATATACAGCTCTAAAGAAAATTTTTAATTAGTACTATTTGAACTCTTAAAATAATTAATCTTATAGGATATTATAAAAACCCAAATGCAAATTATCAAACTGATTCATAGTTGTTTCTCTTTGAAGCTCTAACTCATTCTAATCTCTCCGTTTTCTCTCTTTTTAAACTTTCTTCTGATCCACTGGAAATATCAAACCCAACCCACCTCGATGACTTGCAAATAAAAATAAGAAAAAAAAAAAAGGAAAATAGTGTGAAAATGATCTCATACATTTGTGTTTACGCTTGTTTTGTCAACTGAGAAGAGGCGTTCGCTCTCTGTGGTCAAGAAATTGGCGTAAAAATACTGGGCCATCTACATCTGTACCTCTGCAGATTAACATTGAAAATTATTTGAGGTTGAGGATTATGTTTCCAAGCAGGGGCAAGGGTTAAAAAAATGAGGGCATTCAATCCAAAATTTAATTCATATAATTATTTTTAAAAAATAACATTCTTCATATTTATAATTTAAATCCCAACAGTTATAATACCTTCACATATCTCAAGATTGTAGTCACTTTTTGTTAAAAAAGGCTTAAAACATGAACATTGACCTGACTGAGTTGCATTACCAGAATTACAGCCTCAATGACGATTGTGCTCAAATGTCTTTGAAAAATCTTACTATTCAATATTTTGGCCAGGGAATCACATGATTCAAGTTTTTTTTTTTTTTTTTGTTTAAACTAGTTTTAAAATTATCAGATTAAACAAATACTATAGAGTTACATTAATGTATTTCTAAACAGCATGTTCAAGAAAAATCAAAATTCAAAACAGTGGAATTTGATATTTGGACTGACCGACGGAATCAAGCAATCTGAAAATTGCAAGCTACCAACTCGAGCAGGAAATTGATAGAGGACATCAAAAAATTTCAAATGAAACAGAGAAAGAATTAATCTAATTGCAATAGGTCACCAAAGAGTCTTCAGGAATCCAAATTCTTGAAGCTTTCTGCATATTCATGAAAAGAACCAACAGCAAAGGATGCAGCATGGCAAATTAATTCCGTAACTTGAGACGTTTACTGTCCTCGTGCCTGCTGGTGGCAAGAAAATTTAGAACCCTGTGAAAGCTAAAATGTATTGCATTGAATACTAGCACTTCATCTACCCCAATCTGATAATATAGCTAGTGTTGATCCAGTGCCTTCGCAGCCTCAACGGCTTAAGCTTCTGCAGTGTTCGTTTTAGGGTGCGAATCTCATCAGCTGCAAAGCCTTGCAAAACCTGCCCTTGAATACATTTTTCAAGTCTTTAACAAGTCAGTTAATAGCAATCAAATTCGAAACATCCCTATCATTCGCAAAATTATACAAGAATGACTAGCATTTTTGGTGGCTCCAAAGAACGGTTGACAGAGCTACTGATATAACAAGTTGTATGCTGGTAAATCCCTTATTTTATGCACATCCTCCAAAGACAGTTCTCTCACAAGTTGTGTGCGTGTTACTTGCAAAACCTCCTGCACAGAGAAGAATACTAGAGAATTAGGAATTGAAATGCCTCATTCAAAGTAGGAAAAAGAAAAGTCAAATTACGCTAATAATTGATATCAAGCAATAAACTAACATTCTGGAAAGGAATTTTCAAGGCGCCAGCATTACAGGAAAAAAAAAAGGAAGGGGGGGGGGGGGGGGGGGAGAGATCCACCATCACCTTCGGAAGTCATGCGGTTTTATTATTCGCTTGGAGCAGGCCAGAGCACAATAGGAAACATGGGAAAGAAACATACAGGAAATTATCAAAATAAAATAAGATCATTCTCAATAATCAGGATATTGAGTTTTTCTGGCCCTTTAGATATTAAATTATAGGCCAAAAAGATATATTCTTCTGGATAACTGAGCTCCATCCAACCCTAACAGGAGCAATTAACTAAGGGAATACGGAGCCTTGCATATTTGATTGCTTTTCGGGACCATTTAATGTTTCTGGTTGTTTTGATGTATGGAAATGTGCATTCTTATGGTGACTGAGGTCGGTTATCATCATCATAAAAAAATAGTTTTCAGAACATGAAACAAGTAAAATGCATCAATCATCTGTGCATTTGTCCAATATTTCTTTTTCATCTTTGACCTTTAAAACTCAAATTTTGAATATGCAACCTTCTAAAATATTTTACATGCACATTCATTTCGTCAATCTCTTTAAAAATTGAATGGAATTAGCCACATAAGCACCACATGGATGTTCACGTGGCACAAATCTAGCTCAAAAAGTAAGTGGGCGTACCAAACTTTACCACGTGGACACTGACATAGACTTCCACGCAGCATTAAGGTAGCAGATTACATCAGATTTTAATGGCAGTTGATAGAATGAATGAATTTGAAACATTTTTAAAAGGTCATAGATGAAATTTTGAGTTTTAAAGGTCGCAAATGAAAATAAAATATTGCACAAAGATCATGTCTAGTGCAATTTAATCTGATACAAGCAACGCCAACATATTGTAAATGCCTAGCCACCCATGGTAGTTGAGGAGCATACGTGACACATTGACACTTCACTAGGTGTAGTGATATAAATACTTTCATGAACTTTTTATGTTAAAAATGACTTCCACATAAATCAATGCAGCATCTTTTTCTATCCAGTCACCATAAAGAAAATGGAAAAGGAAGAAACAAATGGACAATTTGGAAGGTTTTGTATTTCATGCAGAATGAAATTAATTGTTTTTTAAAAAGCACAGTTTGGAACTACATAGGAGGAAGAAGTTTTGTCAAAATGTGAACGTGGGAATGTGTATGAGAGAGAAAGAGACAGAGATAGAGAGAGATAGAGAGAAAGAGACAGAGAAGTACATTGAACTCCATGTAGGAAGCACGCATAGCAAGCCACTGAGCGTCCATCATTTCAAAAGCCATACAATATAGTACATCGAAGGCTTCTTCATCTTCTACAGTTTCAAACATTCAGATCATGAGATTGAATACAGAGAACTTGGAAATGGAACCAGTTTCATTGAGCCAATAATGCTTGGGCGTAAAGTACTCACACCCACAGTTTTATTACCTCCTAATAGTTTTATGAAATTGAATCCTGGGAGAGTTTTTGGTTTTTCTGCAAAAAAGAGAGAGACGATAGATTATAGAACAACTAAATCATTTTATTTCTATGGATCTTAAACCATAAAGATGTTTGCGTTCTAACTAAACAGATGCTCTAAACATAGCAGAACATTCGGAAACTTGCACTTTTGCCTCCTTGGTAGTAAATATATGGGATCTAATCAACGAAAATATCATGATGAAAGTTTGTCAGAACATGTGGATAGTCCACTGAATCTAACAACACCAAACTTCCATAGTCTTTTCCATGAGTAGAGCAGAGGATGCTCAAGAATTACTGGACAATGAAAACTGTTACAGAAACAATCTTAGAACAGCTTTATGGATTATGAATTAAAAATGAAAATTGTTTTTCACTCACTACCCAGTAACATGGAGTTATCTTGAGCTTACTAGTGAACGCATTAATGACAAACAGTTATTATTGCAGACAAACCTGAATATAAATCCAACATCTGAATCAACATAAAAGATACATTGATGCCAGCAACAGCGAATGGGTATTCCCAAGTTGCTCGATTTCCATCTTGCTTAAATAATAACCTACGAAAAGATGCCTTCATTTTGTATTTTTATAAATTAGTAAATAAACTAATTTTCTTGCAGAAATCTAGACATAAAAAAGAAAAAAAGTAAAAAGGAACAGAAGGCTCACCGGATAAGTTCGGCCATAAAACAGCAAGTTTTCTAGAGAGATAAAACCACAACCCCTAAGGAGAGAAGTTCACTTTTAGACAAATTAAAATTTGATTTTGAATATAGGAATTCAGGTAAAAGACACAGAGTTTTACCAAGGTGTATTTGCCAATTACTGTATCTTATTTGTTGGATATCCTTTCCGACTCTCTTAGGTAAATCTATGGCATTAGAAAGAATCAAAACTTTTACCAAGGTGTATTTGCACATGTGTTGGAGGTATAAATCCATTCCTCATGTGTTCAACAGTATATGCAGAACATATTCATCCTGTGGGATAAAATTATGACTAAAAGTGGCTGTTAATGACCGAAACCCCTGTGCTATGATATCCTTGAAGATTAGATAATTCACCATATATTTATGGGAATAGGGAAAAAAGGCTAGATAGGACATAATTGGAAACTTTAGTCCTATGTGATGTTTATATGGGCTACAGAAGATACTTGTTCTTATTGTCAAGAGAATGATTAGAGAAGAAATTACTACAACTTCCAAAGCAATATGTTTCCCTTTTACCATGATTTGTTGTTGGTAGGGGATAGATAGTGTGTCATAAGTCAGAAAAAATAGAATGAAAGAACTGTACCGAAAGTCTGTTGATGGATTAGGGCCTTGCCACCCCATTTCTTTCCACTGCTCAGAGATCAAGCCTTTCAGAGCAACATTAGGAAATGCAAGGTGCCACAATGCTCTGAGAGCTTCCTGTCACACCAAAGGATCATAAGATCAACTGTCTGCTAATTTATATGGCATTAAAACTGATTAAAATGAAACATGATGAAGGCAGAAGACCTGAAAACATAACTATTTAAAAATATGGAAATTAAATGAAAAAAAAAAAAAAATGAGATACGAGATTTTGCAAGGCCTCTCAATTACTTCCTCTCCCCCCCCCCCCCCCCAAAAAAAAGACGAATCCTATGATTTGAATCGAGAAAAAGATCCGCTGTTTTCTTGTCCATTTTGGTTCAATTACAGAATGAATAAATTTATCCCAAATTAGTTCTTGTCCACTAAACCAAACATAGACTGAGAATATCTGATTGCCAAAGTTGTATCTTATGATAGACTAAAACAAAGTTGATAATTACGATGCATAAACAAGTCTGATCAATGTTGAAAAAAATAACTTTGGAGAGAAAATATGGTTGATAGAAGAATGAAGAAAGTACCTGATGGTCAGGACGAGTCTCATCAAAAGGTATTTGTAGTCGTTCTTGAAGCTTTTGAAGTCTCTGTTCCTGGTCAGAAGTTCAAAAAATTAAATCAATTTTATCATTACCGACGCGGAGAATGGAAAATGTATATATAACAAATCACCCCAAGAAAATCAATTACAGCATCAAATTTTCATTATTGTAGGATAAATGCCATAAATTCTCTCAGCCCTAAGAAATGACAGCAAAAAGCAGTTCAATTCTACTCAACTAATTCTGATTTTCAATTGTCAACTGTAGGGGATTGGTTACACGAAAATGCTGCATTCAATGTCTTATAACAATGTACATATACATTACATGGAAACAAATAATTTTATAATGAAAAATAAAATTACATGTAGAAAAGTCGGAAACATATGTATTATCACAATCAGTATCTTCTAATGAAAAATAAAATTACATATAAAAAAGTTGAAAACATATATATCATCACAATCAGTATTTTGTAATGAAAAATAAAGTAACGTATAAAAAAGTTTAAAACATATGCATTATCACAATCAGTCGTAATATTTTAAATAATATTCTCCCTTACCTGAATAGGAGTCAAAGGGTAGTCAAGAAATTTCTCATTACGTCTATTGCTGAAGCGATTAAAGAGCCCTCCTATCCATGATCGCGATCCTACCATAGCATTAGCTACAATCATAAAAGACTGATCAGAGATATTAGAGGGCAAGTTGTAAATAGAATGATCTGCTAATCAATGTGCATTTCAATGTTGAAATGGTTGACACAGCCTTAAACATCGCATGTTACACATTTAGAGTAGTTTTCCTCTGCTTAATTTCTCTATGCTGAACATGTTGAGATTTGAGATGGAGGAAAGGAGAAGAAGAGTACAATAAACCTATAAAGATTTAATCCTAATAAAGGAAGCTAAGAAGACAGGATACATTTCTAGGAAACCAAATCTGCCATTAGCAATAGGTTATGTTGTGATCCACGCCTAAGACATTTTTTTAGCTTTCAGTTTTTTTGAACTGCCAATGATCTGTCAGTCTAAAGGCTATTCCATCAATCTCCATGAGACATCAATGTGAATGATGAAGATCTCAAGGCAGCTCATGTAGTCTTGGAAGATTAAACAATTCCAACTAGTTACAATTGTTTTCCCTCTGTTTGGCAAGGTATGCTATGTCATAATGTTCATTTCGATAAACAATGAATAGCACCTGAACAAGCACACAGTTACAAGATAAACATACAAAGACAATTATCAGGAACGCTGAAAAAATTGATTTAGCCAAGATAGGAATGCTGAAAAAAAATTATCAGGAAAATCTACTCACTAAAACATTGAGCCAACTGTGATATTACGTGAGTGGAACTGTGTGTCCATTCCAACTCTTCATCGCCCTTCTTTTGTCTCCAGTAAACTTCATCCTCATCAACCTACATTTGAATTTTCAGCGCACTATTCAGTACCAAATAGCTGCATAGAATAAAAGTGCCATTGATCTGACAGAGAATGCTGGGCTGAAAAATCCATCAACTCCTTTCACATGGTTGAAGGTTCAATTTTTTGGATGCTAATCGTTGTACATTGTGCCTGTACATAGATTGCTTTAAAGATAATTAAGCTCTTAAAAAAAATGTAATGAGACTTGCCCAGAGGCAAGCACAGAAGAAAAGAAAGAAATAAACTTTTAGGCAGAGAAGCAGACATTATTAAATATCATCAGGGTCAGTTGATTCAGTTGAAATATTACATTTTATAAAAGATTAATAACAAACACAGATTAACCTAACAGGCAACGTTCCACTAATAGCCCTGCAAAGGCAACATTGATCAAAATTAGAGAGAGACAGGGGGGGGAGGGGATTACTCTGTGAAGAGAAGAGCAAGGAGGAAAGCATTGTCGACGCTTTCTTAATCTCATGAGGGGACCAAAAATACAAGATTTGATTCTTGCATTCTTTTTAACCGAAAGCAAAAGGAAGAGCAAATAAAAAATAAAAGAAAAAAGATCCATCAAGGATTGAATAAATGGGTAACAAATGATTGCAGTAAACTCATGCTCCATCCCATTCCTTTCTCATTATTCAACCCCTCATCATTCCATCTCTGTGAAAGAGAGAGAGAGTCAAGGAATAGAATAATGACACAAATGCAAAGATACCCAGAAAATGGAAAGAAGTAAGCATTTTTGTTGAGAGCAAAACATTAAGAGCGCAATCGAAGGTCACTTTTTGCATAACTTTACTGTATAAAAGCTTTTTTGCATCCCAAAGGAATAAATCCTAGAAATGTTGTAACGAAAAAGAAAGAAATGAAAAGAGAAAAAGTCGTAAAAGGTAATTGAATATGTCTCTTCTCTGCAAAACATCTACACGCACGGCAAAACTCACAAACCCACGAACGCACGCATAAAGAATAAAGAAAGAGTAAAACTTTTACCTTGAACCGCTTTCTCTACCTGTTATTGCATGTGTTGGGAAAATTGTTTTTGATTCTTTCGGTTGGGCAAAAGGGTGGAGCCAGAACTGGTTGAGAAAGGAGGAGGAAGAAAAACGGATAGAGAATGTGAACAACGGCAGCATGTCGTTTTTCAGATAGCATTTGCGTCGAAACAATATTTGGTTCGTTGGGGCCTGGTGGGGAAGTTGGGAAGTAGTCTTTGTTGTTTTTGTCTCTCTCTGCCCGGTATTGCAATTGAAGCCACTCAGTTCCCTGATTACTTGCCTTCGTCGTAGCATTCGGCTCGGTTGTACATTTTTTTTACAATTGTTTCTGTCTCTCGGCCTCGGGTATCCTAGACTCTAGCCTTGCCTAACTTAGCACATTCAGCCTGGGGCAGGCCTCCACGGACCACATCAATGCTGAATGATCAACCTTTGGGACATCAGCATCGACAGACCATGCATACTCGGATTGTTGGATTAGGAAACCTGTGCCTAATAGGCGTACGTATCAACGGGCCACGGAAAATTGAATCTAAATAGAATTATTACTAGGAGTGAATTATAGGAATGGTCAATACATTTTTTAAATAATTTTTATTTTGACAATCAAATTTTAATTTATTTTAAATATCTTATTGAAATTTATTAATTATATTAAACCTAATCCCTTGTTAAATAACCCGAACAAATTTTAATCAACTAAGTGATCAAAAGTGATGTAGCTACACATATACTACCACATCAATCAAAATTCATATATATATATTTATTTCCTTTTTTTTTTCTTTCATCATATTACTTCCTGGCAAACAATCCTTGTGGCATTTTATGTAGTAGCTTATGTGATATCACGTTATTTTTCAAAGGTTTTGTTGAGTAAAATCTATTAAGATGATTAAATTTGATATAGCCCACAAACTTAATGCCTATTTGGAATAAATTGCAATTTAATGATTAAAATGAAAATTGTGCGAGTTTAATGACAGAATTTACTTTTATTATTAGCCTAAAATTTTTAAGAACACGTTACATGTATAGTCCAAAATTTGTATTTAAATTATTGATGATTTCCAAGTCAAACTATATTTATCATTCTGGGAAATAGAACTAGGTAATAAAAGCTCAACAACTAAATCAAAGCATCATGGTTTGATGCCATTTTTTTAAAAAAAATTTTCTGTTTCTTTCTTTCTTTCTTTCTTTCTTTTTTTTGGCACAACGCTAATATAGAAGTGGAAATTAATATATTTTTTAATGCTGAATACGCAAATTTTAAATTATATTATTTTTTATTATATTTGTATGATATAATCATATTATATTTTAGGTTATTGTATCAACAAAAAAACATAAATATACAAGGAGTAAATGATATCCATGGCTTCCTCAACTTACAAAAGAGTAGCTACAAAAAAAAGCCTATAATCGATATCAGAAACTAGCTCTAGTACGATCCTATAAAACGACAAGAGAACAAGGGATTCGTATGTAAAGAGGTTAACCTTTACGATCTTTTTCGGTTATCGTGTCTTACTCTCTTACTCCTTTAACGGGTCTTCCTCAAGTTCGTGTTCTCTATCAAAAGGTTTAAGTCCCAACTCTGTTATGTAGAAGAAAAAGATACAAAGAATAAACTAAGAAGGCGGCAGCATGGGCTCATTGCTTTACTATATTATGCGGCCCATTCAATTGATCGGGGCAGATACTGACAAAGATCCAAATCTTTTATATATTTTTTAAAACAAATAACTTAAGTTAGAATATCAAACTTTAATTATTCTTATACTAATAAATTAAGCAATGAATCTGGAAAGTAGAGAAAAAATTGCTTCTTGCTCAAAAGTTTTGAGAGATTGATAGAATGCAAGCGAAGTGATAACCTTTATCAGCATCCACTTCTTGAAAATGTCATGCTTACAATGCTTTTTTTACCAAATGTAGCCTAAATTTTTGGTTTTTTTTTTTAAAAATTTGAAGTTATTAAAATTTAAATATTCCTGATCGTTCAAACTAAAAATTCAATTCTCTAACCTGATAAATTTTTGAAGCTTTTATTGTTAAGGACAAAAGAAAACACATTCTAATTTCACGACTCACAGTAAATATATTGTAAAGAGGGCTGTTTATAAATAAACTCTATTGATTACAAAAGGGATGCCAATCCTACATTACAAGGTAAAATTGGACAAGGTCAGCTAAAAAGAAGATGAGCAACCTAAATCTATGATACAAAAAAAAAAAAAAAGGGGAACAGATGATCTAAGTAATTTCATGGAACTGGATAAGACTACTTGTTGCACATGCACTTGTAAGCCATAAGACATGTTTCAGCTCCTTCCAGCGATGCGCACACAAAGCTTATCATAACTAGTCTACAGGGTGTGCAGGAACCACATGCATGTGAGCAGTCAGGCAAGCTTGATCATGCAATCTGTAACGCATCTGCTCCCTTTCTTTTCAACATTGGCCTTCTTTTCCAGTATGAATTGGGTTCTGTGACCATCCCTTCTGTTGGGCTTGGCTGAGAGTCGTGGTGCTAGCTATGATCTGTACAATATTTCACAATACAAAATTCCAATGATGAGAAATAATTAGAGAAAGTGTTTCATTTGTGTTTGTAATTCGTAGAATCAAGAAAATTTTGGAGAGAATTATACGTACGTGTTCGCAGCCGCCTTACTTGCATTGCAGATGCGAAAAGGGAACACAGAAGAGAATAATGACGATTGCAGCAACAAGAACAGACGGCTTCTTCATGGCTTCAACTTTATTATTGTTGGTCCTCTTCTCACCTAGCTTGAATAGTAGAAAAGGATAAGTGAATGCGGTGGAAGGGGTGAGCAAAATAATGAAGTGGCTGAACATATTTAAAGGGGGTGGCAAGGATTTAAATAACGGTCGCGGTTATGTTTTCGGTCGCATTACATTTATTGTGTTTTTAGATATAACGGAGATAATTGTATTCATTGTAATCATTACGGTCGTGAATTTTTTTTTTTTTGTACAACTTATTATAAAATGTAATAATTATAATTATAAAAACTCTTATTTAATTATTTTAAAAATAGTTTATAACACTATATTTTTTATTTTCTAAAAAAATTATTCACAATTGTATTTAGATTATAATAAAGCATTCATATTTGGTTTATCCACAAAATTTTTCTTGGCCAAGTTCATATTTGATATTAATTTTAGACAAATCAAAATATTAACAAAACATAATATGTTAAATACCAAACATTTATATTTAATAAAATTACAAACTTAAAAATATAATAATTTCAAATTTCATCAACTACAATTGTTGGATATATATTTCAAATTTTACCACATAGTAAAATGATGAAGAGGATCAAATTCTCTATCTTCACTTTGAGAGCCAAGTTGACTCCATCCTCATCCTGTGGCTTTTGTTCTTGATACATTTGAGGTGGATAATAACCATATAGAGGTGGATAACCATAAGGAGGTTGAAAATTAGGTTGTTCTAGTGGATAGTAACGTCTTTGAGTACTAGCAGATGATTCACTATACTCAAAGTTACTAGAATTTGGTCTCCCACCTGAAGATGAAGAACTTCTAGAAATATCATAGTGGTGCTTCTTGGCTTTTTCTTTTGATCAAGCTATACGTGCACTTTAACCTTCACTAGATTCAGCAAATAGATTTACTTCATATTCTTCTATATTAATGAAAAGTCCACCAATAACAGTAAGTCCAAATTCTCCTCTAAGTGAGCTGTAATATCGATTTGCATCCATATTATCATCAAAATTCGCACCATCACTATCATCATCATTTAGACTTAAACCTCCACCATCATCACTCTGATTTGGTGTTAGACTTGAACTTGAATGAGACACATTCCTTTATTAAGATTGGCATGATTGTTCAACGTTTATTTCATTATTAGAATTATCTGCAGGCAACCAATCAGAGTTTTGACCATCTAATAAAGGATTTTCTTTCTCTTACAGTCATTCTGTTAATGAATCATCGTCTTCAAAAATATGGTTAAGGCTAACAGGATTAAAACTATTATTTATCTCATCAATGCTCATTCTTTTTTTATTTCTCATTCTCAGCCTCATATTGTAATAGGTATATACAAGTTTTTGAAGTCTTTCAAACTTCAATCTGTTTCTTGCTTTGGTATAAATATAGCTAAATATGCTCTAATTATGTTCACAATTTAATCCAGATGTTGTTTAACTAAGCATTTTGATTGCTAGTTTTTATAATTCAGGAACACAAGTGCCATATATCATCCACCACTCAGCTGTACAAAATTATTTAAATTAAATTTGAATGTGCTTTACAATTAAATAATATAAATAAATAATAATTATTTAATTTACTATTTACTTAGATTCATTTGCTTCCAACTTTTTGTGCCTATGAAGTACCAAATGTTTCATACTTGTCTCGAAATAATAACAACTACATCGATTGAAAATACAATAATAAATGAATA